CCTCCATCCCGTCACCCTCATCCCATCCCTGGGTGAAGACCAAATCCAAGGTGTGTCCGGCACTGTGGGTGGGACCAGATATTAGCTGGGACAGGCCCATGGTTGCCATGGCGGCCATGAAGTCCTGAGCCGCACCGGAAAGAGAGGCCTCGGCATGGATGTTGAAATCTCCCAGGACCAATAGCCGTTGGGAGTTCAACGCCATGTCTGAGACTACTCCCGCTAGCTCAGGTAAGGAGACTGTAGTGCAGCGGGGTGGTTGGTACACTAGCAGAATCCCTATCCTGTCCCGGTCACCTATCCTAAAGCCGGCACACTCAAAGGAAGATGATTGTGGGATGGGACACCTGATCAGTGGACTCCGCCTCCCCGCCCTCCAAGCCTTGGTTGGTGCTGAACAGAATAGCCTGGTGGACAGAGTTGGGAGAGATTAACCCCTCCCCCCTCGTCCAGCCAGGTTTCCGTTATACAAGACAGGTCGGCTCGTTCTTCTTGGATTAGATCTTGGATAATGGCAGTTTTTCCGTTTACGGACCTGGCATTGAGCAGCACCACCTTTAGCTTGGAGGGGCCACCATCCTGGCATCTCAGCTGTATTTTGTCGGGAGTAAGTTTTGGAATTGCCAATCTATTTTTATTAATTTCGGGCCGAATAGTAACGTTTATTTTTAGAGTTGCCAATGTCCTATTGAGAGTTTTGGGCCGAATTTGCTTCTGTCTTTGATTTCTAACATCTTTAGGGGTTGCCAATTTATTGCTATAAATTTTGGGCCGAAATGGAAATTTTATTCTCCCTTTCCCGTATCTCCCTCTACCTGTCACCACCTCTATGGTGGCTCCCCCACCCGTGCCCCCCCCCCGGGACGTTCCCTCTGTTTCCAACAGTTGTAATCTCAGTAATAGGCGCATGTTTACAATTATGGTTATCTGTCTCTGGGTCCCGATAATCCCACCCCTTAATGCTATCTATTCCCTCCAGTGTATCAAAGGCTGTAAAGTGCACCTGTGCTAAAGTTGGTATAAAGTGCCTTTGTGCTAAGGTTGTTATAAAGTGCACTTGTGCTGGAAATTGGAGGGATATCAATAGCAGCAAAGATAGAGTAAACATTGACATAAAGATAATATACTGATGTTAGCAATAGGTGTGCTTACTCCAAAATAATAGAGTGGGAACCTATGCTTCTGCAAAGGTGTTTAGAGTGGCTTGTAGATCTTTTTCTGAATGTGCATAGATGACGTCATCAGCATACTGGAGTTCTATAACAGATGTTGTTGCAACCTTGGCTTGGCTTTCAGTCTGCTGAGGTTAAACAGCTTGCCATCTGTCAGATAGATGATTTCCACTCCGGTGGGAAGCTTCCCATCAACAAGGTGAACTATCATAGCGATGAAGATGGAGAATAAAGTTGGGGCAATAACACATCCCTGTTTGACACCTGATTCCACCTTAAATGGGTCACATTGGGAGCCACTGCTGTCCAAGACTGTTGCCATCATGTCATCATGGAGGAGCCGCAGGATGTTCACAAATTTGTTAGGGCACCAGATTTTTTGGAGGATGGTCCAGAGAGCACTGTGATTTACTGTGTTGAATGCCTTTGCAAGGTCAACAAATGCCATGTACAGAGGTTGATTTTGTTCCCTGCATTTTTCTTGGAGCTGTCGTGCAGTGAAGATCATGTCCACTGTTCCTCTGGAGGAGCGGAAGCCGTTCTGGGATTCTGGGAGGGTGTCTTCTGAGAGGGGAAGAAGGCGGTTTGCAAGGATTCTTGCGAGGATTTTCCCAGCTGAGGTTAGAAGGGAGATACCTCGATAGTTTCCACAGTCTGTTCTTTCCCCTTTTTTGAAGAGCGTGATGATGAAATCTGCTTGAAATCTGCTGGGATTTTCTCGATCACCCACACTTTTTCTATGAGCTGGTAGAGTTATTGTGTCAGCTCATGTCCTCCCTCTTTAAATATTTCAGCAAGGATCCCATCAGGTCTGCTGGCTTTGTTATTTTATTTTTTTTGTTGGCTGATGACATTGCTGACTTCTTCCAAACTAGGCAGTGCTGCAAGTTCATCCCTGGTTTGTTGTTGTGGGATTTGTGAGAGAACCTCTTCGGCCACATTGGAGTTGCGGTTCAGGAGGCTTTGGTAGTGTTCTTTCCAAGGTAGTGCAATTGAGTTTTGGTCCTTCAGGAGTTTGGTTCCATCTGATGAGCAGAGAGGCTGTATGCCATGGTTTCTTGGTCCATAGATGACCTTTGTGGCTTTGAAAATCCTTGAGCATCATGGGTATCTGCAAGGTGTTGGATGTTGTGGCTCAGTGTGATGAGAGTGATGGGATTCAGATTCCTGGCTGTTTTTCTGTGCCTCGGCCTGAGGCTCTCACAGACAGGGGAAATTCAAGCAAGCGGTTCTCACAGGAAAGGAATGCCAGGAAGGGATTCAGCACCCAGGTGTCTTCCCACACTGATAGTGGAGGCCTTGATCTGTAGACGAGAGGCCAGGTCGGGGAAAGGTCATGGGACCACGGTGAGAGCAGGATGTTTTTATGATTAGAAAATGCTATTTAGGCTTCTTACAAAAGAAGTCAAACTGTCAGTTCAACATAGCTTATTAGCCTGAAAGCTTCATGGAATAACCTTAGCCTGGAGCGGTATGCTTGGGACTTCTTAAATTGTGATTCTTGGGGCAATAGTTTCCTTGCTTATACCTGGGACTCTGGTTTGAACTTTGCCAATAGGATTATGCCTCCTGCTTTTACCTGAAGATCTTTGGAACTGTATCCTGCATTTAACCTTAATCTTTGGAACTTTGCAATGCTTATTCTTTGTTTTGACTTGGGATTTTTTTCCTCAATAAACTATAAAACCACAGCTCTTGTGTGGTGGTGTTTGGAAGCAAGGTGAAGCCTACCCTGAGTTGCAACATTAGATTTCTTCAACCTTCTTTGTCCACCAGTTGTTCTTGAGTTCTCTTGTCATTCTTTGGACCTCAGCTTTTGCACTGGTGTAGATCTTTTCCTTAGCAGCATAGTTGATGTTTCTCTGCCATGTTTGGAAGGCTTTCCTTTTCTTGTCAATTAGCTGTTGGATCTCGTTGTCATTTTCATCAAACCAGTCTTGATGTTTCTTGGTTTGATATCCAGTAGTTTCTTTGCAGGTTGTGATGATGGAGGCCTTCAGTTTGTTCCAATGTTCCTCAACATTTTCGGGGTGTTCTGTGGGTAGATGGTTCTTGAGTGCTGTTTGGAGAAGGGCTCATCTGGAGGGCTTGGGTGTTTATTTTGTGCCTTGTCTTTCTTCCTTGGAGTCTGTGCTTGAGGGCGATCTTGATAGCCATCGTGGATCAGATTAGCCTGTGGTCTGCCCAGCAGTCATCAGCACCTGTCAAGGCTCTTGTGAAGAGTACATTACGGAGGTCTCTGGCACATGTGATTACGTAGTTTAAGAGGTGCCAATGCTTTGACCGGGGGTGCTTCCATGATGTCTTGAACTTGGTTTTCTGGCGGAAGAGCATGTTGGTGATGACAAGGTTGTGTTCCGCACATTTGGTGAGAAGCAGGATGCCATTCGAGTTGCTGTTCCCAACATCATTTTTTCCTATGGTCCCTGGCCACAAGTCGAAGTCTCGCCCAACTCTTGCATTAAAGTCCCGCAGGAGGATGATTTTGTCCTCCTTAGGCATCTCCGATAGGACGGTGTCCAGCTGACAGTAAAAATTTTCCTTGATGTCTTCATCGGCATCTGGTGTTGATGCATAGGCACTTATGATGGTTGCCTGTTGGTTTTTGGCAAGATCAATTCGGAGGGTTCAGAGTAGTTCGTTGATGCCAGTGGGTGCTTCGGTCAGATGTTTCACCAAATCATTTCTGATAACAAAGCCAATTCCATGCATTCTTTGGTCTTCCTCGGGCACTCCCTTCCGGAAGAAGGTGTAGCCTCCTTTGTCTTCCTTCGGCTGTCCTCTCTTGCTCTCCGGGTCTCCTGTAGTGCTGCTATGTCGATGGTAAAGTGTCCCAACTCCCTTGCGATGCTAGCAGTTCTGCGTTCAGGGCATTCACTGTCAGTGTTGTCCATCAGTGTCCGTATGTTCCATGTACCAAAGTTCATTTTTCTTTTTTGGCCACAGCGTGGTGACCCCACTGGACGTGGCAGTCAAGTCAGGGATAAGAGAGGCAGAGTATGTTTAGGGCACCTTTTCTAGCCCCTTCCCCGTGTGGGGTGAGCAGAGTGGATCCTAAAAAGGGCTGCTCAGTCATGGATAAATCTGCCGAACTACTCAACTGCCTCGGACCTTGAGGTAGAACGACTGAGTCCGTATCCACTGCCCATGTGCCAGTTTGTGACTAGGGGCTTCCAGATTTCACAGTCCTGCCCCGTCGTCACTCGCTGATCGCTATGGGACTTTGGTTGGTTTTTTAAAAATTTTATTTGGAAGACGCCTGTGCGTGAGTTTTTTTAATGTGTGGAGGTCAGTGCACAACTGATCAACACACAGTCTTCACAGATTGAGGTTCCACTGGTGGTGTAGTTTAACACAATGACTGTGGCTTCTCAATCTTTTGCAGCCTTCTTCTGCTTTCACAGCTGTTGTAACATGTACCATGTTATCCTCCGCCTGCTCCATCGTTGAGGTCTTTGAGTCTTTGGACTGTGCTTGGTTTGGAACTTCCCCCGTGGCCACTTCTGGGAGTGCATGACTCCAGTTGTTGTGCCCACAGGTTCATTGGAACACGCAAGCCCCCTCACCACGACAAGTTGACAGTCCATCGAGAGGGAAAAATATTTTTTTCCCAAGTCAGGCCTCCGATGGGAGTTATTTCATATGTGGGTTTTCTCTCTTTTTTGTAAAAAAAAAAGCAAACAAAACAAAGACCGGAAAAACAAAAATAAGCCCCTAATTCTGACCAGGCGAACCCCTCCCGCCCCCAACAGTCTCTAAAGTGGTGTCAGCGACCCCAACGTGTCGCTCTTAATAGTCGCTCTTCCAAAGCTTGATGGTTTTGTCATTTTATAGGACCGCGGAGGTGATGATGTTGTCCCTGGGGTGGCAGGCGGTCATGATCACCACATCTGTGTGTCCTTGCAGCTTCTGTACAATCTCTTTCGTTTGCAGGTTCCAAATGTAAACCAGGTTGTCCTCGGAACCAGACACGATCCACTTTCCACCAGTAACGGATAAATTGGCAAAGATGCAGTACTTTTCATTCCTGTGGCATGTGTAGTTCTTTAGGCACTTTCCTTTGCTGTAGTCCCAAAGTTTGAGAGTGTTATCCAAAGTTGCAGCTAAGATGTATTTTCCGTTGGGAGAGAACTTCACAAAGGGCACCGGCGGATTTTCATTGTCAATCAGTGTTTTCAAACACTGGCCTGAGGCAGTATCCCAGATTTGACAAAGGCCACCGTAGCTGCTGGACACGATCAGAGAGCCGTCGTGATTGAGGTGCATAGCTGAAACTGGGTCAGAATGAGCTCGTAGGATTTTTAGGCACTTCCTCGTCTTGACGTCCCATATCCTCACGCTTTTGTCAAATGATCCGGAGACGATGAGGTTCGACTGGGGGTTGAAGTTGCAACAGAACATGTAGTTGCTGTGCCCTTTCAGTGTCTTTAAGCATTTTCCCGAGCTCACATCCCAGATTTTGAGCATTTTGTCATCTGATGCAGAGACAAGGAGGTTGGAGTCAGAGGACCAAGCGACATCAGAAATTCCCAGTTTGTGGCCAGATATCGTTTTTTCAAATTTGCCATCATATGCGCCCCAAATTTTAATAAGCTTGTCAGCAGATGAATTAGCCAACCACTCCCCATTGGGACTGAATTTGACCAATGAGACAGCTTTTGTGTGCCCTGCCAATGTGAACTTCAGGGCGTAGATTGGCTTTATAGGGGCATTCTTTGTTTGGTTGGTTGAAGAGGAAGGCGTGGATTGCGTTTTGGTTGACTCTGCATCGGGTTTCTTCTCTTCCATGTCTATGGCTCTGAAAAGAAGCCAGCCAGCTTTCAGGCGCTTCTGAGGATGAAAGAGCACAACATCTTAGAAGTAAAAGTAGTATCTCGAGTCGCTCCTGACGATGGAAGGTAGAATGTCTTCCTTTTTATGAGTATACATGGTGTTGGGAGGGCTGCTGTCCCTGCTTTCATACCTTCTTTCTCTTTCTTTCCTTCTTTCCCCTCATACCTTTCCTCTTTCCTTGCTCTACCTTTCTTCTTTCTGTCCTTTATTTCTCCCAATTCCCTCTCTCCCTCCTTTTCTTCTCTATACCTTTTTTTCTCTTCTCTTTCCTTCCCCTTCTCTTTTTCTCTTCTCCAGCCCTGAGAGACACTACCTCACAATGTCTTCATGGCAACATGGCTATCTTTCTGGCTCTTTCCATCCTTCCTTCCTTCCTCCATTCTCCACATACATCTATCTCCTTTCTTTCTCAGTGATATCACCTAGAAACAGCCTTTGTGGTACAGACAGAGATACTTTGACATATAGATAGATCAATAAATAGATAGATAAATTGTAGGATCATCCTGGATAGGTGACTGGTGGCTCACATTTCTAAAAGGCATATCTATCTATATATAAATGCCCTGTACATAATGAGTACCTTAAAAACAAAAGAACCAATGAACAAAATCACACCAAATTTGGCAAAAAACGTCTCACAACACAAGGAGTCTCCCCTAGGGGGTTGAGAAGGGCGGGGTAAAAGCACTCCAAATAATAAATAAGGAGTGACCAACACTCAAAAATTATGATTTTGTCATTTGGGAGTTGTAGTTGCTGGGATTTATAGTTCACCTATAATCAAAGAGCATTCTGAACTCCACCAACGATGGAATTGAACCAAACTTGGCATACAAGACTCCCCTGACCAAAAGAAAACACTAGAAGGGTTTGGTGGGCATTGACCTTGAGTTTTGGAGTTGTAGTTCACCTACATCCAGAGAACACTGTGGACTCAAACAATGATGGATCTGGACCAAACTTGGCACGAATACTCAACATGCCCAAATGTAAACACAGATGGAGTTTGAGGGAAATTGGCCTTGACATTTGGGAGTTGTAGTTACAGGGATTTATAGTTCACCTAAAATCAAAGAGCATTCTGAACCCCACCAACGATGGAATTGGGCCAAACATTCTACACAGAACCCCCATGACCAATAGAAAATACTGTGTTTTCTGGTGGTCTTTGATGACCCTTCTGACACCCCCCCCCCCGGTGACCCCCCCCGGGGGTCTTGACTTCCAAGGTTGAGAAATGCTGTCTTAAGGCCAACTCCCACATATATGTATATGACAGATGCAGTATCAAAGATTTGAAAGGGACCCCTAAAGAAGGACAATGATATGTTGCCTGTTCCAGAGTAGGCAAACCAGACAATCTCCACATCAACACTAGCAAAGAAACAGCAAGAAATACTGTTTACCTAGAAACATAAAGACATTACATATATTAGAAACCAATATTACTTTATTTTCCAGATCACCACAGCAACAGGAAGGAAGTTGAGAAGAAAGGAGGGAGGAAAAAAGGGAATGAAGGAGGGAAAGGGAAAGGAAGGAAGGAAGGAAGGAAGGAAGGAGAGAGGGAAAGAAGGAAGGAGGGAAGGAAGGAAGGAGGGAAAGAGAGAAGGAAAGAAAGAAAGAGGTACTGAAGGAAGGAAGAAGAGAAAGCAGAAAGGAAAGAAAAAGGGAAGGAAAGGCAGGAAAGAGGTAAAGAAGGAAGGAAGGAGAAAAGGAAATAAAAAGTGAAAGAAGAAAGGAAACAGGGAGGGAAGAAAGGAGACAAATGAAGAAGTGGAGCAAGGGGGAGGGAGAAGGAAAGAGAGAAGGAAGGATGAAACCAAAGAGCGAAAGAAGGAATCAAAGAAAGAGGTAGAGAAGCAGGCATGTAGCCGGGGGGGGGGCTTGGGGGGCTTCAGCCCCCCCCCCAAATTCTCATGGTGGTTCGCGAAAAGCCCTTACTGTTGCATTATTTAAACTGTTATGTTTATTCATATCATGATCTGATCACCTACTCAATATATCCCATATGCATGGGGGTATTGGGGTAACAATACAAAAGTTTTGCTAGGGTAGACCCTCCCCTGCGTGGACTCAGCCCCTGAAAACAACTCAGCCCCCCCCCCCGAAATGAAATCCTGGCTACGGGCCTGTAGAGAAGGAAGAAAGGAGAGGAAGGAGAAGGGGAAGAAAAAGGGGGAAGGAATAGGTAGGTTCCTCTCTTTCATAATAATCCAGATATCTACCTTTACTTTGAAAAGTCTTACTATAGGCCACAACAACGCGTGGCAGGGCACAGCTAGTTTCCTATAAACTAAGCATATTTTTTATTAAAAGTTCTATTGTTTTTGTTGAAGTGCATTTATGTTTTCTGTAATAGTAAATGTTAACTCATAAAATTCAAATTGTAAGAAAAAAAATAGAAGGCAGGGTTTTCAGAGAAGCTACCATTCTGTTAGATTAATTTTCTTGATGTGCAGATTAGACAGATGCTACACTGTAAATCTTTTATGCCACCATACTGTTTTTGCAGGCTTCACTTCTGTTAAGCAGTTGCAGTTCCATATTGTTATCGATAGGCTTTTTCCAGTTTATAAGTGATGTGTTTTCCTGACTACTGGCATCTTTTCCAGTGAAATGGTGACAAGGAAATTGAAAAACAGCATTTTTCCATTCCATTATATTCCATCTAGGAGTAGTGTTTCATACTAGGTTGAAATGTCACATTGATTTGGCATATTTTGTTGATGGAAATTTTTTTTAGCACTGACTGCATTGTAATTTTTTCTTTTGAATGCAGAGTGTCAACAGGTACATAGGAAGGCTTGAAGTCAGCCAATCAATCAGCCTCTGGTGACACCAAAATATGGTGCTTGTTGTACTAATCATCAACATCACAAAATTCATATCAATTACTGCTAGAGAATTCCTACTTATCCCTATATACACAGTTCATCTGGTATTTATGTATAATGATATCCTGTGACCATTAAAAAACTTTTAAAAGGCTTTAATTTTGCCAGGTTTCTACAGTGGCAGTCTAAAGCTGTTGAAATCAGAAACAGCATTTGAGCCCTTCCATTCTTGAGGTGGGAGGAGAAGCTGCACATTTATCCCAATTCTCACACTATAGCCCTAGCCCTGCACTGCTATTAGACAGGCAATGTGATTCTACTAGGTTGCAGCCAATCCAATTCTAGACAGCATCAATAGCAGAATAGTGTCTCAATCGAGGGAAGTAATTGTCAGGTATTTTCCTCTACCTTAATACTAAAAGTGTCCCCAAGCCATGAAGCCAACTAGGCCCCAGATTCCCTTGAGCGATGATGAAAACTTACTGTGTAATAGAGTCCACACACAGATATTCTGTCACTGCTAGAATGCAGGCAGGCTTTATCTTCTGGTACTTAAGAAGATATACATACAACTATAAAGACAATACACACTTTCTCTGTCTATAACCTCAGCTCCTTCCTCCATCCACTATCCACAGCTCCAACAGCCTATATTCTCCACAGAGCACAGTCTCTTGATCCTGTTACTCTATAAAGTATCTAAGACCTACATGAGTGACTGTAGTTTGGCCAGACTTAAAGGCCTCACTAATTTACCTATTTATATATGCCAGTAATCTACAAATTGTGACAGTAATAGTACCACTCTATTCCACATTTCTCATACCTCACCTAGAATACTGTGTCCAGTTCTGGGTACCACAGTTCAAGAAAGATAGCGACATGCTCGAAACTATCCAGAGAAGAGTGAACAAAATGGTCAAAGCTTTGGAACCCAAGCCCCATGAGGAGTAGTTGACAGAGTGGAACATGTTTAACTTGGAAAAGAGAAACATGATTGCAATGTTTAAATTAATTAAAAGGGAGAAGGGGAGTAAATTTGTTTTCTGCTGCTTTAGAGACTAGGACATGGAGCAATGGATTTGGGCTTCAGAAAAAAAGATTCCACTTGAATAGTAAGAAGAACCTCTTGATGGCTAGAGCTGTTTAACAGTGGAATATATTGCCTCAGAGGGTGGTGGAGTCTTCTTCTCTGAAGGTTTTCAAATTCAATGCCCATCTGTCATGAGTGGTTTGAGTGTGTGTTCCTCCATGGGAGGGAACTGGGTTGGATGGCTCTTATGCTATCTTCCAACTCTTCTTTTTTACTGAAAACAGAACATGATGACTAGGCAAATTTTAAAGTTTAGGGGAAAGTTTACCAGAGGACTTTGAAGAGCTAAACCACTTCCATACACACATCTCAGAATGAATTTATGGTGCAAATGCCCTCAAGTGATGTTTGGAAAGATTTTATTATGGTGTAGAAAGTTCTGGGTAATTCCTATAAATTTCTGGGGAAACAAAAATCCCTTGTTGAGAGAAAGATGGGGCATAAAATGAATGATTGAATTGTGCTGGAATTGCTCACCACCCACAGGAAATGGTGTTTGGCAGTTTGTGCCAAAGCTGATTTCATTTTTGTTAATGATGGTGCCATGGAGGGACCTACAAATGCAGTCCTACCCCTTCCTCTGATACAGAGCAGTATCCAATGATCATACTTCAATGGTTCTCAACCTTTGGACCGCCAGGTGTTTTGGACTTCAACTCCCAGAGTACCTAACAGCTGGTAACTTGGCTGGGATTTCTGGGAGTTGAAGTACAAAACACTTGGAGGCCCAAAGGTTGGGAACCACTGTTCTAATTCAGCAAAACAGCCTGCAATTTCTACATAGAACCAGTCTGGCTGCAATGCCTCAAGAGCTTCTTTCAGTAAGTCCTACTTTAGGATAAAGGTGTCCCGGGAGATTATGTTTTATGAACAAACATTTCCTCTGAGCTTCTGGCTAAGGCAGGTATAACAAAATTAGCAGCTGACCATAGGTTAAATATATCAATGACCGATGTTTCTGGTAGAATTAGCTGCCACCACCTCAGCTTTATTGGTCTGAGGAACCCAGGGTGTGAGTGTGT